TAAATTAAAAATAAAAATATTTCGGATTTAATTCATTTCATAATAAGTAAATATATATAAGTGTGAGTGTGTGTGTTTGTGTGTGTTTGTGTGTGTATACTGATACTGTATGTTATTTCAAGTATTGGGTGTTATATTAAGGTTACAATTTTCCTTAAATTACAAACTTTATTTTCGATAATGATTTCTCATTTGCAATGAGTACACACACACACACACACACAGACGCACACACACACACACACACACACCACACACACACACACACACACACACACACACATATATATATATATATATATATATATATATATATATATATATATATATATTATTATTATTATTATTTGGCCATGCAAGTATACTCCATAGCGAAATTAAAAAAAAAAAAGAAATTCTGGAAGCCCTTTATATAAAAAGAAATTAAGACCAACAATAAATACAATTTATTATGAAAATAGAAACAAAGTTTTAAAATGTTTATAATAACAAAGTTTTAAAATACCTAAATGGTAATAGTTAAAATCTACAAGTTCAACAGATTGTTTATATATATATATATATATATATATATATATATATATATATATATATATAGAATCACCAATATAAAAAAGAGACTGAATAATCGTTTTGACATCAGTCAAGATTTTCCACACTACACACGGACGTGGATAAATTTGGCATTTGTGAGAGTATGTGCGTGTGTTTACAACGCGAATGTCTTTGTTAGTATATTATTGACCTCACCTCGTGTAAACTCAATCATTGCGCGCTGCTTAGGGCGAGGCAATTTTGGGCAAGTATAGAAAGTACATTAAAATGCGCCAATGACAAAAATAATACCAAAATTCGTTCTTAAGCAATCGCCGGAAGGATTCTTCGCATTATGCGTCCAAGACACAATCGACCATTCCTTCTTTTGCTTCGCGTTCTACGTCTTCCCAATTGTATTGCAAATCAAATGTAGAAAACCTCATGAGTTTGACAAAACAGATCGTGGTTGATAATATATGCGTTTTACATGTTGGAAACCGAACTTGTCTCACCGGGAACTTATAGGAAGTCTGTTATAAATTTATTTAAACAATAAATTGTTAAAATATTTCGATGAGTATTAACTTATTAACTTTTGTTTTCCCATTACTTTTAACCAATTCTGATTGGTTGAACTGAATAAATCAAAAGCAACCCTTCTCCTCCTTTTTTTTTCTTTTTTACTCTTTTTCTTCTTATGAAAAGACGATGTAACTTGTGTCTTTCTTTTTTACACATTTTTTTTCTTTTCTTTCTTTTCTCGTGAATTGAGAGTTTATCTTTTTTTCAAATCCCAGTTATTTATTAATGCCAGATGAGATGTGTTAACACCAATTGAAACCTGATTGAATTTGTGTAGCTATTTTTTAAATGTCTTTGATGTAACATGTTAAAATAAATAATATTGCTCTACTTTTGTATTGGAGCCCTTTAAATTGAATGTTATGAGCGTTGGAATTGAACTCTATTCTTTCTCCTTTTTGATATATATATATATATATATATATATATATATATATATATATATATATATACGTTGAGCTAAACATAAAATCCACTATAAAAGAAATGTCACATGAACATATGAAGTGGTGATAATAAATTCGATAGAGCGCAAAGAAAAAATACTAATTATAATTTATGAAGGCTGAAATTATTCAGAAATTAGAAAATTTATACCTAAATTTGTACAGAAAACAAAGAAAATTACTCAAAATATAGAAGAAAATGAAATAATTAATAATGTTTTTGTTTGATCTTTAAAAATGTTCTTTTTATATAAAAAATATATACACACACACACACACACACACACACACCTTTTATATATATATATATATATATATATATATATATATATATATATATATTTATCATTGGTAATGCGTAATGTTATTTTTCTAGTAATCGAATAATTGTCACGTTTAACACGGTTAGAATTACAGAAACATTCACACAGCTGGAATTAATCTTCATATCAAACACTAATCACATGCAATTTTCAATCATTTTAAAAAAATGACTAAATTGTTTTAGTTGTTTAGTTGCACGTTATGTTGTGCTGGCACTACCATATATGTACAATCTAGAAGATCGTGTTAATTTTGTAGTTCAATTTTGGCAACATCTATATTTAGATATTTATGGCGAAATAGCGTTCTGTTGAGTGAATTACAAAATGACTGTTATTAAAACAAGAGGGATCTTGAAACAATATGACTAACTTTATATTGTTATAAAATTTCATTCTTTCTCTCTTTGACGACTGCTGCTTGACTATCATTTTTAGGTGATATAATTTGAATATGTTGCGTAGTTAGACGAAGGTTACTTTTCCTGTTACTATGATCCTAACGCTTACTACTTCTGTTTTAATTTAAGCCATCGTTTATAAATAGTAGGCAAATCAGTGACATTAGATGTGTAGCGCGTAGATAAAAAAAGGCGATATGGTTCTAGTAATCGAATGTTGTTAATCTCTTGCAATATAAATTGGTTACAAATACGTTCACCAAAAAAAAGTGAAGTCTTTTTTTTAAATATTAAAAATTATAATTACTGGTCCTGATTTGGTTGTTCGACTGCAGTCACTTTTCCACCGATGTCAGTTTTCCTCACTGTGTCTTTTCTATAAATACTTTCATGTTAATTTTGAGGATGTCCTCATTACATTCTCAGCGTGATTTTCGTTTTTGTTGGTGGATCTAAATGAGTGTGTGTTTGAGAGAGTATATGGGATGAATGATTGTTTTTATATTATTTAAGTCCCGAATTAATTTCGTCCAGTTAACTGATGTTTCTGCCACATTTAGAGATTGTGGAGAGATTTTACGAACATTATTTTGTTTAGTTTCTTGTAAATAGTTTGTTTTCATATTGTAAATACTCATTGGGGCTAGGTCTTAAATTGTTGTTTTATTCCCCTCTCCCTACAGACAATGAAATGTACATATGGGATGTACGTATGACTTTCATGGAGACAATGAGGTATTATGGTGAGTGTTGTAAAAAAGGATAAGTATGAATGCGTTGTTTTGGTGTAAGGAATATTGTTGTATATTTGGGTCAGTGTTTGTGGCTAGTTTAATTTAATGTTAAGATTGATTAACACCATCCTTTTCCCCATTCCCCATTTTCGCCATGTGCCACATTTTGTAAATAAATTACAAATAATATCGATCTTCGCTATTTAAGCAATGTTTTTTAATTTTTATTATTTTGTTTAGTTTCTTGGAAATAGTTTTGTTTTCATATTGTAAATATTCATTGGGGCTAGTTTTTTTTTGTTTTTTTTTTTTTAAATTGTTGTTTATTTCTCTACCCCAGACAATGAATTGTACATAAGAGGACTAGTTCGAACTTTCATGGAGACAATGAAGTATTATGATGGTAGTAAGAAAGATAGTTAAGAATGCGTTGTTTTGTTGTAAGAAATATTGTGGTATGTTTGGGTCAGTGATTGTGGCTTATGAAGTTTAAAGTTAAGACAGATGAAGACCGTTCTTTTCACCATTTCCCATTTTGGCCTTGTGCAACATTTTCTGTTCATAACAGAAATAATTATTGCTCTTCCGAGTTGCGTCTTTTGAATTTAAAAGCAATACTAGACTGGCGAGGAGGTCTCATCAATTTACAGTTGAGTTGGCTTGATGTTAGCGTAAATTCTCGACTAACATCTTTCTTCGAGTAAATGTTATTTATAAGCAATACATTCATAGTAATTATTCAGATGAGCTCTTCACTGTGGTACCTAGAGTTTTTTTAAATTTAAACGCAGTACTAGACTGGTATTGAGATCTCATCAATTTACAGTTGTGTAGGCTAGATTTAGACGTAAGTTCTATATAAACAGTTTATTTTCTCGTAATTCTCGCTTGTGGAACCTCCTTCTGCTCCAGGCATTTCGGCCATCTTTGATCTGCAAAAATTTAAATGCAATATTAATCGTTATTTACTGTACTCCTGATTACTCTTTTCACTTCCCGATTATTATTAATAAATCAGTTGCTATTTCTTCAACACCCTGTAACCCACTTAGGGACTTTACTGCCTTACATGAGGTGATACCGATTAAAAAAAAGGAAAGAAAAGAAATGACATCTGCAACAATTGTTAATTAGCCACCTAAAAGAGAGAGTTATACCTGGCTACGAGATGCTTGCTATTCTTTATACAATCGTTTTTCTGTGTCTCTATATAGGTCTACATCCATATAAACTATTTTCTTTTCTTTACTCCAATTACTATTCGCGTAGCTTCAATATTTGCATTAGTCAAAACTGATAACAGTTCGAAATATATCCACCAACATGTCTTCAAGTTTCTTTTGTATTTCGTTCGATCGATGGAGATTTATTGAACACATGTCCCTGCTCAATAGACTCCCGCACACATATACGCTTCACTGTCTGACACCAGGGACGCTTTAACGATTCCAGAGGAACATTATCACGCAGGTAAGATGACAGCCCTCCAGGCACCTATCAAGGCAGGCGCGTCATATCCTGTGCGCACTCTTTCTGCATGAGTAAATAACGCGGCAATAAGCAACAGCACTGCCAAAATCCGGCATGGAGTCGCAAACACGCATGCGCGGGGAAGCACCTCAAAAATGAGGAAGAAAAATGATTATGACAAATTCATCCAGGTGCAAACCGATTCTTGAACAACTCCCTGCTTCTTTATTACATTGCGTAACGGGATCGGTTGGCTGCACAGAGGCGCGTCGTACTTCGCTGCTTTCTAGAGAATAAGTTTGTGAGGGCTCGCCAGGTCTTCTGACGAAGGTCGTTCAGCTGTGAAGTGGGGGTAGCTTTTCAGAGCTGATTTTCCGTTGATGAAACACACAGATCACAGCATCCAAACAGTCTTGAAATCGGTGAATTTCTGTGATCATAATAGGAAAAAAGTGCATTCCAATGTAACGGAATAATTAAAAAAAACTGCATAAAAATATAAACTTG